GGACCCGATATAACACAAATTCAGATATAAGGTGGTAAAGCAGTGCTCCGGGGGGGCGAGGCTGCGCACTCCGGTGGATCAAAGCAAGTTTGATATAACGCAGTTTCACCTATAATGTGGTAAGATTTTTTTGGCTCCCGAGGACAGCGTTATATCGAGGTAGAGGTGTATTTAGTAAGAAAAGTTAACAAGAGAAATTAGCAGAGACCTGTTATATCTCTTAAACACACATGTTTTGAACATGTACTTAACAAAAGTTGCTTATAAAAACAAAATACTGAACTTCATGTTTCTGCTGTATTTAATTGGGAAAAGGTTTCAGTTATGTATGTGTTATAGTAACCTGTGATGCCAGGGTGGCCACTCAAAGCCTTTCTAGAAAATACTGCTAAAGACTGCATATAATTGTGACAGAAGTGAAATCTGAAAATAAAGAAAATACTGTTGAACTGCCCACCAAGAATTTCTTCATGGAGAATGCAAGGCTGGAGTTGAGAGAAATTTAGAGGAATTGCAGTTCCCAGTGAATGTATAGTTCTAATTATATCTGATGGAATAGTACATTTCCTACTTCAGCAACCTTATAGAATGATGGAAGCATTCTATGAACAGTTTTTCCAGATCTCACTACTATCCGTCATGTCTTGGATCTCTGCCAAGCACTATTTGTTCTGAGTGCAGGTCCCTATTGATACTCACTGTGGGTGAGCATGTGCTCCACTCACCTCAGACAGGAAGATTTTTCAGTAGCAGTCTATGCCTGTGCTCTACACCACCTCATGCTCTGAACCAAGTGTGTAAGGGGTGGCATGAATTGCCTGCCTTCCGGGTCTTCCTCGTTAGTGATCCTCACAAGAGCTGCCTGTACTATCTCAAGGAATTACACATTCCTTCTAAGTGTGAGAACTGCCATTCTTTCCCCCATGAACTAGACAGTCTTGTGAGTTCTAGCTTTGCAGATATTTAATTGAGCTCTCCATGGGGCCCCAATCTGATCCTGGATGTTGAGCTTCCCAGCACATCGACTGGAGCTACCAAGTAGTGCCCCTCCAGCACTGGCACTCCCTAGCTCAGGATCCTTGATCAAATTTGAGGACTTCTGTAAACAGAGACATGAGGAGGGTATGGGTAAATGTCCCCATAAGAAGCAGGTTAAATAGCCTCGTAAGTTCTTGAAGAAAACGACTGCTTCTCCCCTACTCTCTCATCTAGTCAGACTCCACACCCAGGTAGGGGTGTGTCTAGAGCTCATGGGAGCATGTATCTGCACTGACCATACCAAAAGCAAAGAGCACGCTGAAATATCGGACTGACCCCCTGCACCTCTTACCCATGCATATGCTTACAACCGTTCCCGAACATACAGCCTCAGAACAGAGACCAGAACAACCATTGCAAGCCAGGGTCCCTCCATCTGGCAGTATGGTTTTTGGATAGACAAAGAGATTAGAGAGATTGTGCGGGAAGAGGTCCAAACCATCCTTAACAGCAGGAAACACTCTACAATCATCGTGATTAGACAATGGCATAGAGAGTACACTTACAAAGTATACGGACAATACCAAGCTGTTATCTTGCAGCTACTTTGGAGGATAGGATTAAAATTTAAAATGTTCTGGACAAATGGTCTGAAGTAAATAGGATGAAATTCAATAAGGACAAATGCTAAGTACTCCGCTTAGGAAGGAACAATCAGTTGCACACATACAAAATGGGAAATGACTGCCTAGGAAGGAGTACTGCAGAAAGAGATTTGGGGGTCATAGTGGATCACAAGTTAAATATATGTTAGCAGTGTAACATCGTTGCAAAAAAAAAAAAAAATCATTCTGGGATGTATTAGCAGGAGTGTTATAAGCAAGACAAGAGAAGTAATTCTTCCGCTCTACACCATGCTGATCAGGCCTCAACTGGAGTGTTGTGTCCAGTTCTGGGTGCCACATTGCAGAAAAGATGTGGACAAATCGGAGAAAGTCCAGAGAAGAGCAACAAAAATTATTAAAGGTCTAGAAAACTTGACCTCTGAGGGAAGATTAAAAAAAATTGGGTTTGTTTAGTCTGGAGAAGATATGTCCTTAAAGACATCTGCTCTATCTATTCATTCCTTGTGAGTATATTTAGCAGCTATTAACTTCTTCAATCCTCTGATGGTGAGCTGCTTGGTTTTCACCCATCCTACAGCTGTGAGATTCTTAAAGGGTATTATCAGAATCTCTCTTCCCCTCCCCCCAAAAATTATGAAAACCTACATCTCTCTAGAACCTGAACCTGATTCTCTCAGCCCACCATTCGAACAGACCCTTCCCTATACTGTGTTTCACAGAGATAGTCCCCTTGAGATTCCATCTCAGGTTCATCCAAAGGTTCCCTCTGAATTTCACTTGAATCAAAATTGCCTATTTTCTTCTCCAAATCCCACAGTAACGGGTATGTCTGCAGAGTTCTCGTCTACTTGTAAAAGACAAAGTCCTTTAGGAAGTTGCTGAGACTATGGGTTTCCATCACCGAGAGAATTAAAGGAGAAGCAGTCCCTTTGCAAAGACTCTGTAAATGGACTTTGTACTGCATCCTCCTTGGCTACGTGATTATGAATGACCCTTTGCTACAGAGTGTCAGGGCTCACCCAACCGGAGCACAAGCTACCTCAGTGTCTTCCCTGCAAAGAATTCACCTCAAAAATCTTTAGACTGGCACCTTGGGGCTCGAGTCACATTTTTATTGGACATCAAGCCCTTGCTCAAGCTTCACCATCAGATGCCTACTTTTGTCCTGCGATCTATGGCACAGCATTTTTGCTTGCACCCTCCTCCTCCAATGAGTGCTGCGTGGGAGTCAACTACAGTGAATACCCATAGGGAACAGCACTCAAAGAAGAAAGTAAGGTTACTTATCTTGCAGTAACTGGACTTCTCTGAGATGTGTGGTCCCTATGGGTATTGCACAACCCACCCTCCTTCCTCTCTTCTCACATCCTCTCTTGATTCAGGGTAGAGTTAGGAACTGGAGAGGTGGTCAGACTGTGCCACCCCTTAATGCCCTTGATTCAGAGCACAAGGTGGTGTAGGATGCAGGCACAGATCAATGGACCTTGCAACTGAAAAATCTTCCGGTCTCAGGTGCCTGGGGCAAGAATACCCTTAGGAAACTATGCAGCTTGAGCTTCAGTTACTGTAAGGTAAGTAACTGATCTGACAGGCTGCTCACTACTGCTGAGAATGCTTTACACTGTTGCCAACTTTTTTCTGAGAACGGTATAGGTTGCTTTTTGTGACATTCAGTTTCTAATAATTAAAGTAATTAATGCTGTGTAAATATTTGTACCAGGTTAAATGAAGTTGGCAAGGTTGCAGCAAACAATATTTATTGTAAAACTGTATTAAAATTATCTAAAGTTTATCATAAGAAAAAACAATGATTTATCTTAATCTGATAGCCATGTGAATAGTGTATTAATGGTGCAGATTATTGCAAGCTAAAATAAATAATATATGAAATAATTTAATACATATATTTCTATCTCTTGAAAATGGCTACAATATACTGGTAACCATATAGTTCCTACATAGATGCTATAAATTGTCACTTGTTTTAATGAATTACAAAAATAAGACTTTTAAATGTTAAATACTGCTAGTTACAGTTTGGTACTTTGTCAGATAGCAAAAGTAAGATCTCTCACAACCATAACTGATGAAGACTTGGCATTATTAACCATTGGCAAGTGGTTTGTGCTGGCAATTATTTGTTTTTGGTGGCAGGTTCCATAAAGAAAGAATAAACCACTGAAGAGAGAGAGGAGCAGAAGTGGATTGCTAGTCCTCACTGCTCACTCTAAGGAGAATCTTCCATACTGCTCCTTCCTTGCATCTGACCCTAGTGGCGTTGTACTGAAAAGGAACATCAAAAGAGTGCTTTTCTTGTTGGCATGCTACGCCTATGTTTGATGAGCACTTCTCAGGCGATGCTGCACTTACTGATAGTTTGAAAAGTTACTTGAACTCCAGCATAAGCATGGAGAACAGAGAAAATACATAAACACACTACTACAAACTGTTGACCAACAAATGCTAATGGCTACTGCTTGTCCTTCTTGTGGGTGTGAGAGGCATCCTTCATATTGGCCTCAGATTAGTTAAGCATCAGACAAATATTGATGCCTTGTTAATAGGAGATATAGGCATGGCTCTAATTAAACTTTCCTTTTGATGTCTGAATTGAGCTTTTAAAACAGGTGAGTTGTGCTTTCAGGAGGTTCAATTGGCAAGGAATTCTGACGTTTCAAAAAATTTCATTCCAAATCCGAGCAAAAATCTGAAAGTTCAAAATTTCCCACAAATTGAAAGTTCAGAAAAATTTCAGTTCAGCACAGTTTTGATTCAGGAAATGTTTAAACTTTTTTATATTATATTTTATATGTAGGATCATGGAAATGTAGGGCTGGAAGGGACCTCGAAAGGTCACCCAAATCTGCTCCCCATGCCGAGGCAGATCAAGTATACCTAAACCATCCCAGATGTGTAATGTAGAATATAATATTTTAATATTAAAGTAGAAACTAAAAGATTTCAGCCTACTCTATTGAAATGCAACTTTCGGATCTTTTTCTGTCAATTTTTGTTAAAATTGATAAGTTCCTACAAAACACTTTTATTTTGATAAAACTGCATTTTTGCTGAAAATCTGTTAGGGCAAAAATTTGACCAGCTCGGTTAGTTTCAAATTATTTGGCAGCATAGCAACTAATCACAGGACCGTAGTTTTTCTTTTCAGCATTGTAGTAGTGTGTTTCCTAAATAATTTAAGGCAATTAGTACAGTAATTTGGCCTATTCAAAAAGAGGTGCACTATAATACAAACTGCATTAGAATTTGTCCAACATTAGATAAAAAAATAAGGAATACTTGTATATTAAAATAAAACATTGAACTACATTGGATTATAAATAGAATAATAAACATTTTTCTGCACACTAGCTTAATCCTGTTTGTATCTATATACAGAAAGCATCGAAACAACGTAGGACCTAGCAAACCCATTTCTCAGCCCCGAAGAAATATTGTAGGGTGCAGAATACAGCATGGATGGAAAGAAGGGAGTGGACCTGTAACACAATGGAAGGGGACAGTTCTTGATCAGGTTCCTGTAAATCCTTCTCTCTACCTTATTAAGTATGATGGATTTGATTGCGTCTATGGACTAGAACTGCACAAAGATGAAAGAGTGTCAGCGCTTGAAGTCCTTCCAGACAGAGTTGGTAAGTGCTTTTTGATGCACGTACATATATATTGCATGCTCTGGACAGGATGCTGGATGGAGCTGCTGGATTGCATTTTGTCAAGTCTGTGGACTTTCATTAGTAAATGTTCTCCTTATTTTGGAGTGAGGAGGGAATTTTACTCTCACAAATTAAATAACATATTTTTATATTACATTGAGTGCTATAGAAGTTCAGTACTGTAAATTGTCATCTAATTGGCATACTTATATATGATATAATATTGATCAACCTTATTCACAGCCAAGATTTGGCTCTAAAAAGCTTATGTAATGCTTAGACTAATATTTCTGTTACATGTTAAATTGTTGATGCTGAGTGAGAGTTCACATTTTACAGTTCAATTTCATGAGAATTTTCTTTGCTGTACTACATATTCTGTGGTCCTGTATTAAGTGTTTCTCATATGCCTTTCCTGAGAAGTAATAAAAATAAAGTGAAATTTCTTTAAAAATGAAATAATTGAATTAATGTGTTTGTTTTCAATAGCTCAGTCTGAATTTTTAAAACCTGCAGGATGTCTGAAACACTTATTAAAGTTCAGAATTCACGCCAAGTGTCACTGACTCTCAAACTAGATCAGCTTTTTTTATTGGCTGCAAGGAGTTAGCAGTGTTTCAAGAAGAAAAAAATTCAGTGACAGTAGAAAACTTTAGAGGCTATTTTATGATCAGCCCTCACCCCTTTTGCTAAAAGTTTTTTTTTAATAGAAACAAAGATGTTGTGGTATCTGCTTTGTAACTCACAATCGGTTTTCCTTAGTGTTTCTAATTATACTTTTCTGTAGTGTAAGTTAGGGCTTGTCTGCACGTAAAAATTAATCTGGACTACAGTAGGGGTGTGAGTTTAAAGTGGATTAATTTCCTGATTAGCTCCATGTGTGGATGCTCTTGTTCCAGAATAAGTGTGTCCACACATGGAATTTAATCAGGAATAGCTATTCTAGAATAACTGACAATGTAGACAAGCCCTTATTTAATAACCATAGCTAGAATTCCGCATCTTTGTAATCTGGATATACCCAGAGAATAAAAATATCCGCCAGTTAATTCATATAATTATTTTGTCTATTTTGTAAAGAAAACAATTTGAATGAAGCCCTTTTTATGATTTCTATTGAAGATGTAGTATGCAGGCTTCCGAGTGGTCCTGAATTTTATGCAATATTGTGTACGTATTTCAGCTTCATCTCGAATCAGTGATGCCCACCTGGCAGACACAATGATTGGCAAAGCTGTGGAACATATGTTTGAAACAGAAGATGGCTCAAAAGATGAGTGGAGGGGGATGGTCTTGGCTCGAGCTCCTATAATGAACACGTGGTTTTATATTACTTATGAGAAGGATCCTGTCTTGTACATGTATCAGCTCTTAGATGACTATAAAGAAGGTGACCTCCGCATTATGCCTGATTCCAGTAAGTACGCCAGTACTTTTTTTTCTTCTAAACCAAAATGACAGCTCACTTTCCATAAACATTGGGTTTGTTTGTTTACTGAAATGAAAGAGCTGACGAACTGCAAGAACTGCAGAAGATTCATATGATCTTAATATTAGGGATGACTCTTAAATGGTGGTCATTTGAAACCAGGATAAAATGGTAATTTTATTAGCTTATCCTACCACCATCCACTTTTTCCATGTCTTTAGGTATTCTCCCTCAAAAATATTGGTTTAATCATAGCACTATTTTGATGGGAAAGCAAAGTTAGGCTTTTTTTGTTCCTTTGTGTTACCTTTTAACTAAATATAACAGATCACAAGGGCTAAAGTGAAACTAGATGAATTCATGTACACTAAATAAATGTTGTGTGTGTTTGGGGGTGGCGGCGGGGGGGGGGGGGGAAATAAGTGTTCATTTTAAAATGAAACAATGCATGTAGGAAAACACTTGTAGTCCTTGACAGTCTGTGTTTCTAAACCAGACATACAGCAAGTGTAACAAAGGAATTTGGAATTTCTTTCAAAGTATTTTGCACAAATTAGCATCATTGTCACCAAATTAAACACTGTTTTCTTAAATGATCACATCAGGACGTGGGAATTTTGGGTGATAACTCTTAAAGACTTTTGGTACGTGTGTTTCTGAGTCAGTCGAGCTATAGCAAAGATGATAAGGGAAACCGATGTGTGTGCACATGTGCCATTCAAACATTATGATACACAATGAAATTAATATATACACATAGTGAAGGTTTTTCCCTAAATTTAATTTTCAGCCCTGTAACTGTAGATAGGAATAACCAGTTTGTTTGCAAGTTGGTATGATAAAAAGAATAGAATAGAATTCTTTTAGAGATGTTTAAAGACTTGAATGTTAGTTCATTAAAAATTACCCATGTCTTAATATTATTCCCTTTTTGATTAAATTTCACTTTACACTGCCCCCAAACTTCGTGCTCCGTATGTTGCAGATTTCGTATTGACCATGTTTGTTACAGGAGTTATTCCAGGGGAGGCTGTAGATTTTAAGAGATGGGTTTTTGAAATCCAGGAAGGTAGAGGGGTGATTGTGTGTCTTGGATTTTTTTTTAAAATCCAGGTGGCGGTTGAAGCTTTTGGTACTAGAGAGAAGGGGGGCTGTATCTCTTGTCTCCCTCTTGGCCAGGAATAGAGGTTACATTGTATAAACTTTGGAGGGAAAGAGGTTGTCTCCCTCACTTCACTGTAGCATATATACCCCTACATCCAGCTATGATTATTAAGCACATTAGCTCAGCGTTTCTGCTAAAACGATCAGCAGTGAAACTATTAGTTTGATTTTTTTTTTCCATTTCCCCCCTTGGCTGCTCGGTGGATTTGGCGAGGGGAAGGAGTATCCGATGGGTACTAGAAGATTTTTCTTCCATTAACTGAAGGAGAGAAGTGCTGAATCTTTAAAAACGAGACAGAGGAAAAACAAAAAGCAGTATTTTAAATAGTCTGAATAAAAATCATATGCCCCCACCTTCAATGAATGAGTTTCTTGTCCTGTTATATTGTGCTTGTGCTGTTATATTAATAGTAGATCTCCAGGTATTCAGTGTCTTCCAGGGTAGAAAACGTTGAATTGCAAATATAGAAAACAAACACGAAAACTCCTTTAAAAAAAATAACAACAAAAAATTTTCAAGAGTGGACCCCTTTGCCCTTCTATCTAGGTGAATGAATTGTGATGGATGCTTTGGCTTTATAATGGGTTGTTCATTTGGTTGTTGGAGTCCTTGATGGGTGAAGCTTTCCATAAACATTAGATCTGGAAGCCATTCATTGGGTTCTTAACTATCTCTTCATGTAGATATAGGACTATGTGGTACAGTTATTAGTAGACAATATCACACCAGTGTCATTGTACCTGAACAACCAAGATATACTCATGGTTACAGCCTATGTTGTGACTTAATGGCTCTTTGGAGTGATATGCTAATTATCAGACCAACCCAGCTTCTCCATCTGGCAGTGGGGAAAAAACTTGTGTGCCACCAGCATGAATCACAGATGATGGAGGCTGTAATTCTACCTGTTCCTAAATAAGTCAGTGGTACAAACTCTGTTTCAGAAATGGGGTCATGAATCAATAAATCAGTGTTCTACTAAAAGCAATTTAAAATGTCCCTTGTCCTTTTTTCTGTTTAAGGACAGGAAAGGATCCCAACTCTGACAAATGGCTTTTTATTGGACTTCGGCCATCATTTTATGTCTTCCCTTCCCTCACTCCTCTCCCCTCCCACCCCCGTCTCATAGATGAGGGGACAAGGCGTACATGCTTTTCGTTGTTACAGATTGAGTTAATGAGTTCTGATACTCTGATCTCCTGGGCTTGATGTTGGAGCCTCTCGTACTTGTCACTGTGTTTCCAGACACTATACCAGGAACAGTCAGTCTTCCCTAGGTTTGGGGAAGCTAGTGGCCTGAATTGTGCTCTTGAGTACAGAAATTCAGTGTCCTAAGGATGTCTGTGTGGGCTTGAAACTTAGCACTTAAATTGATGGAGCTTCTATTAAAACCTTTGGAAGGGTGCTTTACCACCTGTCCATAATACAACCTTTTTCTTTTCTATTACATCTGCAAGGAGAGTAACTGAACTGTAGGCTTTTATGGCTGACCTTTCTTTACTGTATTCTTTTTGGGAAAGATGTTTTTTTTTTTTTTTTTTTTTTTTTTTTTTTTTTTGTCCTGACACTAAATTTTTCCCAAACAAAGTCTGATTCAGAAGGAATTCTGAAACTACACCAATTTTCTTTTTTTTTTAAGCCACACTCTGATTACCAAAGGAGGCTAAGTTAAATAAACTTGATGTTAAGTTTAGGATAAAGCTCTGAGAAAATCACTCAAGTTTCTTGCAACTTTAGCATCCACAGCTTCAACTTTCTCCTATAAATAATAAATAACCTCATTGTAAATAGTTAACACTCCTAATAGTTTATAGTTTAAGCAGTTTTAACAATTCTAGCATTTGATTAGTCTATGGGGGGTAACCCCCTGTACCTCATTTGGGTACTGGACTATGCCCAGGACCCTGGGCTTCAAACTCTGTGCTTCCTGCCTACAATCCTTCTCGGTCAGTGAAGACCACTAACGTTATCTGTACTGCCTTGAGGAAGCTCATATCGTACTGCTTTGAGGAAGCTCATATCGTACTGCTCATATCTGTACGGACTTGAGGAAGCTCATATCGTGGTGAGGTGCAGTATCCAGTCAGACCCAGGCTGGGGAACCCTCCCTGTACATCAGCCTGATTCCACAAGGAGTGCGCCTTCTGCTGCAAAGTCTGATGTGGGAGAGATACTCCTTCCCCCTCTCCCCCCCCCCCCCCGACCCTATGCCGAGGCCTTTTCAGGAAGCTAGAAAGCTAGAGACTATCTTCCTGAAAATTCACTTCAAAGAAGTCCGATGCAGCTGTAAGCAAACCTACTAGCTCAGCCCATGAGGACTTAGGACATACTAAGTCCCAGAGGTACAACAAGAAAGCTTATAAGCATTTGGCTCCATTGGTTCCAGACCGTGTCCTGTTGGTACCGTCGTTCCCAGTTGCTTCCAAACAGTACAGATAAATCCCAGTCACTGCGGGATACCACCCTCCTTGCTGGCTCTGATGGTCCAGACAAGCAGAGTCCCCCTTATACCACAGAGGTCCAAATCTGTTGCCACCCCCAGGATATTTTCTCTTTCCTGGATTCAGAATCCCCTCCTCTATCGGGACCCTCAATTTCCAGGAGATAATATCTCCTCTGAGAGAAACCACTGCAGGATAGAGCTTGTCAACTCCCACCCCCACCAGATGCAGAATACATTTCCCCTCCAACGGCACCAATGGTACCACCACTGGAATCGGAATCAGCCTTCTCCTCGGAAGATTAGGAGCCAGCTGATGAACTGCTCTTCCCTTACCATACTTATCCTCCCCTACCCAAAAGACCCACACAAGCTCAAGAACAACCCCCGCCTCATCTGACTTAGAGCCGTTGGCACCCCAGGCCACGGGGGCCTCTGTGACCACTCACTGACCCCTCCTGCTGGCCATATTGGGGGCCTCGGGACCAGTACCACCCTGCAGAGTCGATCCAATTTACTAGGGAGTCACCCCTTGCCTCCTCTCTAAGGGAATGCTCAAATCAGGGGTGCTGGAACAATTTGTATAATGGGGGTGCTGAGAGCCATTGAACCAAACTGTAACCTTGTATATGACGGAAACCATTTCAAGCCAGGGGTGCAGCATCATCCCCTGCACTCCTAGTTCTAGCACCTATTTGCTCCGATCTACCTCTGGATCTGACAGAAGAGGAAGAATACTATGTGTTGGTTCCACCAGAACCAGCAACACTGCCATCATCATCCCCAGATGAAGCGGTGGCTTCTGCATCTCCATACATACATACATACATACATACATTCTCTCTCTCTCTCTCTCTCTCTCTCTCTCTCCGCAATGACTTCAGGAAGAGGAAGTTCTAGGACCTTCTCTGCAGAGTCACTGGAGAGCTTCATGTTCTCCTTGAGGAGATCCAGGGCAAACTCTTAATCATGCTGCACCTCTCTGTTAACAAAACTATACTGGAACAAGCTAGTACAGTTTGGCCACCTCTGCTACCTGTGCTCCTACCCTCAAAGGGGCAGAGAAGCATTGTTATGTGCCAGTTAAGGGTGAAGAATTTTTGTTGTCTCACACAGCTCCTAATTCGTTGTTGGTCCATGCCGTCTCTGAAAGGACCAGACAGCAACATGCCAGGTCTACTCCTGCGGACAAGGAGGATAAACACCTGGATCTACTGGGAAGAAAGTTCTTCTCATCATCCAGCCTCCAGTGCAGAATAGCCAATTACCAGGCATTGCTGGCTAAATACAATTCCCTGAACTATGGCAAGTTTGTGAAGTTTACTGACAGAGCTCATTTCCTAGCTTTGATGGATGAAAGCAAACTGATAGCCAGGACCACCCTCCAATCTGCAGTCAGTGCCACTGATACCTCTTCTAGAGTTATGGCAACTGCTATTGTCATGTGCAGGGAGTCATGGCTCCTTGCATCAGCTCCTTATGAGTCCACTTGGCAGCAATCAGTACATACCATTCACCTTCTCAAGACTACTGAGGTTTCGCACACCCACTGCCTAATAGATTCTGGAAAGGCTTAGGTAAGAACCTTCCTGCCTACTCAGAAGCTTGCATCCCAGTGGAACCTGAATCTCATTCTCTCAGTGCTAACAAGACTCTCCTTTGAGCCTTTAGCTGCTTGCTCCATGTCCTTCCTTTCCATGAATGTCGCCTTTCGTGTAGCCATCACATCAGCAAGAAACGTTGGGAAATTTGGAGTAATGATGGGTGACCCTCCATACACTGTATTCCATAAGGTTAAGGTTTCCTTACATCTACACCCCAAATTTATCCCTAAAGTAGTTTTGGAATTTGACCTTAACCAATCCATTCACTTAGCTGTGTTCTTCCCAAAACCACACACTTCCGCAGATTCCACTCTCTCGATGTTCGATGAGCCTTGGCTTTCTACCTGCATAGAACAAAATCAATCAGGAAATCCCTGTGACTATTTTGTCTCTGTATCAACAACAGTCAGAGGCAGGCCACCTCCACCCAGAGAATCTCCAAATGGGTATCTGGCTGCATTCTACTCTATCAGCTCTCAAACCCCTCCCCCTTCACGCTGGGGCTAAGAGCTCATTCCACCAGAGCGCAAGCAACAGCCGGTAGCATCTCTTCAGGAGGTACCCTCCTGGACACTTGTAAAGCAGCTATGTGGAGTTCCATTCAACCATTTGCAACAGATTATTCCCTGGTACAGGATTGTTCTGCTGATGCCTCCTGTGGAACAATGGTAGTCTGCTCAGCCCCATCGGCCACATCCTCGCACCCTCCTCCTGTTTAGATACTATTTGTCAATCACTCACAGTGGACTACAATAGGGACCATCACTCGAATAAGAAAAGGAGGTGACTTACCTGTAACTGGAGGGTCTTTAAGATGTGTGGTCCCTATCTGTAATGCACTTCCCACCCTCTGCTTCAGATTTTATCTGATTCATGGTAGAGAAGGAACTATAGAGGTGAGCCAGGGCACATACACAGATACTAGTTTCAAATTCTCTGGCTCCAGACACATGGTCTGCATGCATAACCCACAGTGGAATACAGACAGGGACCACACATCTCAAAGAACTTCCTCATTTGTTATTTTGCTTTATGTGCATGTGACTACATAGGAGCTAATGGATGCAGGAAGTCTAGGAGGCTAGTATAAGATTTCAGTTTCTTAATATTCTGGTTGCAGTGTTACCCAAGTACATTTTTTCCTGTAATGGTAAATTGTGGAACTGATGAACCCTCTTTGACTGAATAGACTACAACTTCTAAAATGTTCTTCTCAAACATTGTAATTCATCTCTTCTCACGACTCCTGATATTTTTATACATTCTGAAGAGGTCTTTGCAGTTGTTATGTGGATTGAAAACCCTTAAACTCCTAACTAAACACATCATATTTTTGTGTTACAGATGATTCACCTCCAGCAGAACGGGAACCAGGTGAAGTTGTGGACAGCCTGGTAGGCAAACAAGTTGAATATGCCAAAGAAGATGGCTCTAAAAGGACTGGCATGGTCATTCATCAAGTTGAAGCCAAACCTTCTGTCTATTTCATCAAGTTTGATGATGATTTCCATATTTATGTCTATGATTTGGTGAAAACATCTTAGACATCATCGTGAACTTTTGCCAAACTTGTGGAACTATTAAATGTAAAATTTGTAGACACAAAGACTTGACTGCTTTCCAGTTTAATGAAAGCTTAAATGTCCCTGCGAACCCACAATCTCTGCCAACAAAACTGTTTTGTTCTGAATAATACAAACAAATTTGTGTGAACATGACACATTTTGTGTAAGGGAACTCCTTTTCTTGAAGGAAGTCACTATATTTTTGGGGAGAGGGAGTTAAAGTAAACAGCTGCAAATTCAGGCTGTGTAAAGTTGATCTAGTATTGTAATCATTAATCTAAAAAAAATTTCATAGCCTTTAACTTTTTCTTCAACCTCGCACTCACCTGTTCAACTGCCACATGCAAGTGTAGTTTGATATTTTCAATATTGCCTTCTTATGTAACATTAAATTTAATTTCTTGGCTACTGGCAGTCCTTGTTTTCAGGGTTGGGGCTGAGATGATTTCAAAAAAAGTAAATGGTTGGTTTGTGCAGTGTTTAAGGAGTGCCTAACCCAAGTAACATCAATCTACTGTGTTTCTACACCTTATTTCAAAGTAGCTTTTTAAGAATTAGCAGTACATGGGAATATTCGTGCATCTTCGTAGACACAAGACAGTACAACATCAAGTGTTTGACTTGCACCTTTCAGTGAAAAGGCTTTAAACTATAAAAGGTTTAATCATCTATATAAACTGTTGATTAGAAAATGCAGGCCCACATTTACAAGTTGAAGGAACCAGTAAAACTACACAAAACAAGGCTGCCTTCTATTCTAAATGTTGTATTTTTGTTATACACACTTCTTAACAAACCCAAGTGCTTGGTGCCACAACAGTCATAACATTATATGTTACTTCAGAAAGATCTTTAGACTACACATTGGCAATCAGTAGTCTCTCATTTAATTTCAAAATTAGCAACCTGGATGTTTGTGTGTGGACTTAAAAGCCTAATAGTTTATCTGTTACATGTAAAGACAAAAACCTCATGAAAGAACAGTCCTCTTACATTAAAGACTTATTTTAGAGAAGGAGAAGCATTTGTTGCCTTCTGCTGCATTCCTTTTTTTTATTATTATTATTTTCCCCCTGAGAAAACATCTTTCTTAGCTCTTCTTTCTGGCTTTTCTACGAGTGTCCGGACAAATCATCTACAGCTTAAACCTGTTGTCGCCTTTTGTGGTGTACATTGTACTCGCTTTGAGGTATGCTGTTACGTGAATTTCATTCAATGAACACTAGAGTTCTGCATGCCAGTGGTGTACTAACTAATGAAAGCTATAGGCAGCCTCAGTGGTTCGGTCATCTGCATTAGATTGTGGATGTAAATAGCAGCCCACAGCAGCAGATCCTTTCACAGTTTTAATCTTGCAAGATAGTTGTAACCCAACGTAGTTTTTTAAGTGTGGCAGTTTTTAAAAGTAATCAGAATTGCAAAAATGGTCAGTTCAGCAACAAAATTGTCATGTCATATTAAGGCAGAGCTTTGCAAGTTTGAAAGCACTGCTTCACAGAAGGCTAGTATGTGAAGCCAGTTATCACTGTTGAGGGGAGGAACACCCAGATACCCAACCTTACACAGAAGGCTAGAAAAAGGTGCTGTTAATCAGAGATCTGAGGCCCAGATGACCTCTATTATGGATGTTCTTGACATTGAAGATTCAGTGGTTTAAGCCCCTTTCTATCCATTTTTGCCTGACTTCATATTTTAGCCTTAAGGCTTGTGCCTCATTATGCTGTTGAATGGTAACAAATACTCACCATATAACTACAGTACCTTAATTCTTTGTCCATTGCTACTATTGCATTATGTCCAGTATTTCATCATGGGCAACCAAAGGCAGGCTATTGTCTTTCAGTGAATAGCTTCTCAATGCAGTCCTTAAGTACTAAGTACCTGAATCATAAATGTTCCTTGTGTTTTTGAACAAAGTGAGCAGATTTGCAACACAGTGTTTTCATCCTGCAGATCTGTTATGTGTTTTCTATTGACTCTTAAGAGTCCTGCATGTAAATCTCAAAGCTGAGCCTGGCTCCATGAGCCCAAGTTGATATTTGTGGCACAAGAATGAGTGAGTGTATTGATTATTCACAGGATACGTGCATAACGTAGTACAGTGAATTTTGGGCTATACATCTGAGGAAAACAAGGTTTGTTTTGAAATATTTGAAGTTCAGGTCTACTGAAACATTTTTAGCATTAAAGGCTTGCATTTGTGGGTTTTCTGCAAGCCACTTTAATATACCACATAATCTACCAATTAGTGGAGTATAATCTGTAAATTTTTACGGCCTTTTAAGTGTCCCCTGTTGTCTGTTGCTTTGTTCGTTTTTGTTTTTTGGGTTGGGATTTTCTTTTTATTTTTTATTTTTTGATAGTTTAAACCACCTTTTTGAGGCTTGAGACTAATTCCACTTCCTGCCCTTCTGCTTTGGGCTTTGTTTTAGGCTCATGTTTCAGATCTGCATGCAGTGCTTGCGTTACCCTGGTAACTAAATGTTGGTTCCTTGTTCTAGGGGTTCAACATTACTTTCCAAAATTATCATGGGGCTTGTCACAGCACAAGCCAGGATCTGTGTATAAAATTTATTGGCCTTTCTCATTTACCTGCTGTAGTATTGTTGTATATTGTGTGTGTGAGTGTGTGTGTGTGTATGATGTCAGGCTGCCATGTAAAATTTTAAAAAGGAAAAAAAAATCTTAAATGCAGACCATCCTTTTTTGCATGCTTAGAAGGTAGAATGTTCAATGTAACAAACTAAAGTTGCATGTTAAAATGTTTAGGTTTTTTGTTTTTGTTTTTATTTTGTGTTCAGTTTTTGTGAATTTGCTTATTGTGCTGTTTTAATGGTTGTTAGTAGGACTAAATGCACTGGTGAGGCGAGCATAGTGCCAACAGAAGGTAATTTTCCAGTTGTATGTGTCACAGCATTTGAAGGGACCATGTATTCTGTTCACTAGTAAATAAAATCACAGCTGAATCTAAAACACCACACTTTTTTTCTTTTGAGTGCCAAACCCTAAATTAAGTTGGAGTAGAATACATAAAGACCTAAATACATTGGGGAAAACCCTTTTAAACTTCATAAATTGCAATACATAACAGTCTTTTTTAAATTGATTCATTTTAAAACTGAAGGTTTCTTTGAGGACAGCAGCAATTACAATCAATTCAGGGAAGGAGAATTATAGCTAAAACAGTTTCTGGTTCCTTTAAAATGCTGTGCTTTTTGTATTTTACATCATTAGTGCAATTTGGATGGTTCTTGGTATGTGTATAGTTCAAAGGTCTTCGTGTTCACATTTTAAAATTAGGTAATGACTTCATCTTTAGAGCTTGGTTTCATTATTTTTATTTTATTTTGAACAATGTAGACAGTTCCCTGTTCTCTGCATTTAGAAGTATAAACACTTTAAATCTGTTACTTAATTCTGTAAGTAATTTTTATAATTATGATGTAACTCTATCCTTAAAACATTTAAAATAAACCCTTTATGTGCAACTTATGACTGTAAATTTTGTTCTCACGAGCAAAATGTAGTGGTGTGTTCTAAAATTGTGAAGAAGCAGTTTCTTCAGTTTTATAATTAAAAAAGGACTTATTATTTTAACATTGAGCCATTTATTCTGATATAATAATTTGCCATTTGAAACATCTTTGCTTGCTAAGACAAATCTTTACTCCTTCTTTTGCCAAGTAGGTATGAATGTTGATAAGATGGCATTTAAAGTGGATGAAATCTGATTGAGGTGAAGCATAGTGCTTAAATTTACTTTCTCAAAATGCAACAAAAAATTGTGTAAGGGAATTCTGCACATATGTGAAGAGCCTGTAAATTAATGTATTTTCAGTGCACATTATAGTTTGCACTCTTAAAAGCAGTGACTCAAATTGTGAACTCCAGAAGCATTTGTCAATATGTAGACACTTACATCCATGCCTGCTTTGAATCAACATTCATAATTAAATAACAAAATAAAACTTGAATTTTTATTTCACTCACAACAACAAAAGACTGAAAATTGGAGGTTTGAAACTGCTTCAATTATAGGCATAATATGTTTCACCTCAGCTTTATGAAGATGGGTAAGTATTATTCCCACTGTATACGTGAAGACAATATTTTTTAAAAATAAGGTGCCTAAAGGTAAGCTCATAAGCCCATCTTTAGACACCTAAAATAAGTGGTCTGATGTTTTTCAAATGTGCTAAGCATACAGGAGTGCCTTTTGAAGTCAGTGAAGGCTATTGGGTACTCAGCTCTTTGGGCATCCAAATATGTGGCTTGATTTTCAAAAGGATGAACGTTTCATACCAAGCTGAGAAAATCTTTATTAAGAGGCCAGCCCAAGGTCACACAGCAAATTAGCTGCAACACTGGGAATTGAACCCTGATCCTTCTGATTCCATCCTGTGCTCGATCCACTCGATTATGCTGCATGAGAAATAATAATCCCTGTTTATATTCAATAGTCTGTTGAGTTTCACTTTGGACCGGAGTGGGAAAGCTCCAGAATTCAGCCTCTTATTAAGTAGTGAGTATTAGTGAAGGAAATAAATAGGTTTATGTTTATTTGTTTGTAACCTGTCTTGTGCAATTAGAGGAATAGTCAAATTGGGTATTTGGGTATTTTTTTTGTGTAACTAAGGGTTTGCATCCTCTGTGTTTGGAATCTGTTGTCTGTGAGAGTAGCTGGTATGCTAATCTCTCCCAGAGGGTTTTCTTTTACCTTTCTTTTCTTTAATTAAAAGCCTTTTTCTTAATACCTGATTGATTTTTCCTTGTTTTTAGATCCAAGGGGGTTGGATCTGGAATCCACCAGGAGTTGGTGGGAGAAAGGAGGGGGGATGGTTAATTTCGCCTTGTTTTAAGATCCAAGGGGTTTAGATCTGTATTCACCAGGGAATTGGTGAAGAGTCTCCCAAGGCTACCCAGGGAAGGGAATTAGCACATTGGGAGTGGTGGCAGCGGACCAGATCTAAGCTGGTAGTTAAGCTTAGAAGTTTTCATGCAGGCCCCCACATCTGCACCCTAAAGTTCAGAGTGGGGAAGGAGCCTTGACATTATAGTTATAATTAGGCAGCCAGTTACAGGACTAAAATACAGTGTCTTTGATACTCTACCTTTTTCATCACATTCAACCAACTGCTTAATTGCTTCCACAGTGGATAGTTACAGGAGCTCCTGGGGGGTTGTGTATCTTCCCCTCTGCCACCTCCTCAGAAATGTTAACACTCTTCATGGTACTAGGTTCCTTCAACCATCCTTACACAACTGATTTAAGACTTT